AATTTGTGAGAAAACGAAAGTAAAATTTTATTTAATTCTGACTTCAAATACTTTTTTTCGAATTTCTGATGCTGTCTAAACGAAATTCGCATTAATTAATCATTTTCCATATACAAGCATAAACGAACAAAAGCTACTAATAAATATAATCTAACCTTGAGATATTTATGTTAAACTCATAAATATTGTTAAATATTCTATTACATTTTTTTCTATAACGACCCGGCCGGGCGGATTAACGCCCCGATCCCCTATTAACTGCTTTCCTCGTGTTTGTTGTTGCTATTGTGAGTTGCCAGGAAGATTCGTTTTGAGTTTCGGAGTGTTTTGGGACACTTAGTCCCTCAATGAGAGCTTAAGCTTTAGAATTTGGATCGTAGTCGGAGCAGTGTGAAGACGGCCTCAGAATGAAATTTTTTCTATTCCGCTAGCAACGTTGGATGATTTCAGGCTTAGGGGCGTGTTCGAATTGTATTTTGGAGGTCCATAACTTATTTAGGCTTGAAATGCCGAAAGTTAAATTTTTAAAGTTTCTGGATCGATAGTGAATTTTTTTATATCGGGATTGGAATCCGATTTCGAAAGTTGGAATAGTTCCGTAGTGTTGAATGTGACTTGTGTGCAAAATTTGGGGTCAATCGGACTTGGTTTGATTGATTTCGGCATCGATTATAGGATTCTTGAAATTTCAAGTTCTTTATGCTTGGATTGGAGGGAGATTCGTGATTTTAGCGTTGTTTGATGTGATTTGAGGGTTGGACTAAGTTTGTATGATGTTTTAGGATGGGTGGAATGTTTGGTTGAGATCTCGGGGACCTCGGGTGAGTTTCGGATGTTTAACGGAAGTTGAATTAGAGTTAGGCTATTTTCTGAAGTTGCTGCTTCTAGTAGTTTCGCACCTGCGGTGAGGAGCCCGCAGGTGCGGCCCGCAGAAGCGATGAAGGAGGTCGCAGGAGAGGTTTGGGCACTAACAGCCAGTAACCGCAGATGCGGCTAAAAGACCGTAGATGCGGCAAAAAACCACAGAAGCAAACCACATCTGCGATGAAGGGAGTGCAGGTGCGGTTCCTAGAGAGTTAATCAGTTTCCGTAGATGCGGAGCCCAAGGCGCAGGTGCGGGACCACAGGTGCGGTCCCATGATCGTAGAGGCGGAAATCACTGGGCAGAATATAAAATTTTGAGGGTTTGAAGCTCATATAACCAAATTTGATTTTTAGCTCGGGAGAAGGCGATTTTGGGAGGATTTTGAAGAGGAAATCTGTGGGTAACGATTCCTTATCCATTTCTAGTTGTATTCCATCAATCTAATCTTAGTTTTATTATTTAATTTCGGATTTGGGGTGAAAAATTGGGAGAATTGAGGAAACGTTCCCCAACCAAGTTTTTGGATTTTGATTGGATTTTAGTTGTCAGAATTGAGTGATTTTTGAACCAGTGTTCTTGTGAGTGAATGGGTGTTCTAAATTGATAACTTTTACCCGATTCAGAGATGTGGACCCAGAGAGGATTTTGGGCGTTTTTCTATTTTCTTATCTTAGCTTTGATTCCTTTAGCTAAATTCATTATTTGTAGTTATATTTACATTATGAAATTTATTTGATTAGATTTGGGCTACTCAGAGTGGGATACTCATGGAAAGAGCGTGGTTTCGGGATGATTTTGAGCTAGTTCGAGGTAAGTGGCTTGCCTAACCTTGTGTGGGGGAACTCCCCTTAGGATTTTGGTACTGATGTTAGAAAAAGCATGCTTATGTGATTTAACTGTCAACCCTGCTTTAACTGCTTACTTGTATTCTGTGCAGTATGTTTAGAGTAGGATTCCTGTTTATTCTCGAATAGAACTGTATATTCGTTCTTGAGACTGTTGTGTGTTTACTTTGGGACTACGAGACGATTTCCTAGGAGATTCCCCTGCATGTTTACTTTGGGACTACGGGACGACACCCGGGAGATTCCTCTGTACTGGATTTTTACTTTGGGACTACGGATTAGTATTCCGGGAGTTTCCCCTGCATATTTATGATTCAGACTACGTGACTATATCCTGGGATATCCTCTGTACATTTACGTTTGGGACTACGGGACGATATCCTGGAGATCCCCTGTTGCTATCAATGTGTACTGAGTATATTCTGTCTGTGATTTTACTCTTTATTGACTGTTAGTGTTTTTAATTATATTGTCGCACTTCATATTGTTTTACCTTGTTATATATATATATATAACCAGTAGGTCCCTGACCTTCCTCGTCACTACCCGACCGAGGTTAGGTTTGGCACTTATTGGGTACCGTTGTGGTGTACTCATGCCCTTTCCTGCACATGTTTTTCGTGTGTAGATCCAGGTTCTTCGGCTAAGCCATACTATCAGTGAGGCGAGGCGATTTTCAAAGACTTCGAGGTATATCTGCTATGTTCGCAGACCGAGGAGTCCCTCTCTATTCTCTCTTCTAGCTATAGACCTTCTGTAATTACTTTTTTTAGACTTCTGGAGTTAGAACGTTATGTATTTCCTCTAGTTTGTGATGCATGAGATTCCGGGTTTTGGGAGTGTTAATATTGGCCGAGAGTGCTATTATTGTATATGCCGAGTGGTATTTTAAACTTTTTTATTATATTTCCCGTAAATTGCTAGTTTCGTATCTCTATTTCCTTTTTCCGCAAATGGTTAGACTTACCTAGTCGTAGAGACTAGGTGCTGTCATGACAGTTTACGGAGGGAGAACTTGGGTCGTGACAAGTTGGTATCAGAGCTCTAGGTTCATAGGAGTCATAAATCACAAGCCGATTTAATAGAGTCTTGCAGATCGTTACGGAGATGTTTGTGCTTATCTACGAGAGGCTATGTGACTGTTAGGAAAAAATTCCACTTCATTTGGTTTCCTTGTCGTGCGTGATTTTTGACATTACAATTCTAAACATCTATCTTCTATTCTCTCACAGATGGTGAGGACACGTGCTACCGGAGATTACCAGGCACCCGCGCCCCCTGCTAGAGCCGTTAGAGGCCGGGGCCGGGGTAGGGGCCGAGGGCGCACGCGTGGTTTAGCCCGAGCACCCGCACGAGCTGCCACCGAGGAGCCACCAGCAGTTCCAGTCAGAGCCCAAGCACCCGATACACCTACTGCTACTACTATTCCAGCTCTTCAGGAGACCCTTGCTTAGTTTGTGAGCATGTAAACTACTCTAGCTCAGCCAGGGTTGATTCCCCTTGCTGCAGCCACATCCCAGGCCGGGGGAAGAGCACAGACTCCCACCGCCCGCACTCTTGAGCAACGGGTATAGGTTGATCAGATCCCAGAGGTTATACCTGTGAGAAAGCACGGAAAAAAATATATTATTGATTAAAAAATGACAATGATACAATGAGCCCTATATATACAATACATGTCCTACTCCTAATACATATGAGATTAGTGTTATTTACTACTATTTATACAATAAAACTAACACTCCCCCTCAAGCTGGTGCATATAAATCATATGTACCGAGCTTGTTATATATATAACTAATACGAGGACCAGTGGGGGACTTGGTGAAAATATCAGCAAGCTGATCATTCAACTTCACAAATTTTGTAGCAATATCTCCCAGGAGTATCTTTTCTCTAACAAAGTGACAGTCAATCTCGATGTGTTTAGTTCTCTCATGGAACATTGGATTTGACGCAATATGAAGAGTAGCTTGATTATCACACACAAGTCCCATCTGACTAATCTCACCAAATTTCATCTCCTTGAGCAACTGTTTGATCCAAATTAGCTCACATGTGGCCATAGCCATTGTTCGATATTCTGCTTATGCACTAGACCGAGCAACCATATTTGTTTCTTGCTCTTCCAAGACATCAAATTTCTTCCTACTAAGACACAATATCCAGATGTAGAACGTCTATCAGAAGGTGATCCTACCCAATCAGCATCTGAGTATCCAACGATTTGCTCATGGCCTCAATCTTCAAACAATAAGCCTTTGCCTGGAGCTGATTTATATACTGAAGAATGTGGACAACTGCATCCCAATGACTATCACAGGGAGAATCCATAAACTGACTCACAACACTCACAGGAAAGGAAATGTCGGGTCTAGTCACTGTGAGGTAATTTAATTTACCAACCAACTACCTATATCTTGCAGGATCGCTAAGAGGCTCCCCCTATCCTGGCAGAAGTTTAGAATTAGGATCCATCGGAGTGTCAACAGGTCTACAACCTGTCATTCCTGTCTCCTCAAGAATATCTAAGTTTTACTTCCGTTGTGAGATCACAATACCTGAGCTAGACTGAGCGACCTCAATACCCAAAAAATACTTTAATCTGCCCAGATCCTTAGTCTGAAAGTGCTAAAAGAGATGTTGCTTCAACTTACTAATACCATCCTGATCATTGCCGGTAATAACAATATTGTCAATATAAACGACCAGATAAATATAGAGATTTGAAGCAGAATGTCGATAAAAAATAGAGTGATCAGCTTCACTATGATTCATGCCAAACTCCTAAATAACTGTGCTGAACTTACCAAACCAGACTCGAGGAGACTGGTTTAGACCATAGAGGGACCGGCACAACCGACATACAAGGCCACTAGACTCCCCCTGAGCAACAAAACCAGGTGGTTGCTCCATATAAATCTTATCTTCAAGGTCACTGTGAAGAAAAGCATTCTTAATGTCCAACTGATAGAGAGGCCAATGGCGAACAACAGCCATGGATAGAAAAAGGCGGATTGATGTAATTTTAGCCACGAGAGAGAAAAGTATCACTGTAATTGAGTCCAAATATTTGAGTGTATCCTTTGGCAATAAGACGAGCCTTAAGTCGATCAACCTGGCCATCTGGACCAACTTTGACTGCATACACCCAACGACAACCAACAGTCGATTTACCTGTAGGAAGAGGAACAAGCTCCCAAGTACCACTCGTATGTAAAGTAGACATCTCGTCAATCATAGCCTGTTGCCATCCGGGATGAGATAGTGGTTCACCTATAGACTTAGGGATGGAAACAGAGGACAAAGATGACACAAATGCACAATGGGATGATGGTAACTTAAACTGATATAATGAGGATTAGGATTAAGTGTGGACCGTATACCTTTTCGTAGTGCAATCGGTTGATTAAGAGGAGACAAGTCCGCAGTATTAGTAGGGTCAGGTGCAAGACATGAATCAGCTGGGCCTGATGCTGGGGGCGGACGACGATGATAAGCTAGGAGTGGTGGAGCTGTAGAAGGTTGAACTGGACTAGGTGGTGGCACTGGAGCTATAGTTGGTGGAACTGGACTAGGTGGTGGCACTGGACTCGGTGGTGGCACTGAAGCTATAAGTGGTGCAGCTGCAACTGGAACTGTAGGTGGTGGAGCTATGGAGGAAGATGAAAGGGAGATAGGGACTGAATCTCCAAAAGAAGGAAGTAGTAGCACCTCAAAAATATCTAACTGATTAACTAGACCTGTGAAGTATGATTGGGTTTCAAAGAAGGTAACATCAGCAGACATAAGAAATCGCTGAAGGTCAGGAGAATAACATCGATATNAGTGGAACTGGACTAGGTGGTGGCACTAGACTCGGTGGTGACACTGGAGCTATAGGTGGTGGAGCTATAACTGGAACTATAGGCGGTGGAGCTATGGAGGAAGATGAATGGGAGATAGGGACTGAATCTCCAAAAGAAGGAATAGGTAGTACCTCAGAAATATCTAAGTGATTAACTGGACCTATGAAGTATGATTGGGTTTCAAAGAATGTAACATCAGCAGACATAAGAAATCGCTGAAGGTCAGGAGAATAACATCGATATCCCTTTTGCATTCTCAATTAACCCAAAAATATGCACTTAAGAGCACGAAGAGCTAACTTATCTTTTCCTGGAGTAAGGTCATGAACAAAGCACGTACTCCTAAAGACACGGGGTGGAAGAGAGAACAAAGGTAAGTGGGGAAACAGGACAGAGAATGGAACTTGATTTTGGATAGCTGCAGATGACATACGATTAATAAGATAAC